CATCATCATCATCATCATCATCATCATCATCATGATTATTTATCTTCCTACAGTGCTGGATGGTCGCATGTGTCACCCTGAGTGTTCATCGGACGGCTGCTGGGGCAGTGAGGACGACGCCTGCCTGAAGTGCGCTCACTACAAGCTAGAACCGGAGGGACTGTGCATGCACAGCTGTGACGTCCGAACAGGGTGAGTGACGTCATATAGGCTAAGAATATCTGAGCTTAGCTCTCTCTTCACGCCTCCCAGATTGTTGTTTTGCTTAATTGTTTCTGATTGTGTAACTCGTCGTAGCCCATATACAAGATTAAATTACTTCTCTTGTTGTAATCTTTATAATTTGTTGGAGCCAATATTACATTGAACGTTCGTTTGTTTTAATCTGTATAACTTGTCACAGCACATTTAACATTGAACGTTCGCTTGTTTCAGCCTGTATAATTCTTTACAGACCGTGTAACATTGAACGTTTACTTGTTTCAGCCTGTATAATTCTTTACGGGCCGTGTAACATTGAACGTTCACTTGTTTCATCCTGTATAATTCTTTACGGGCCGTGTAACATTGAACGTTCGCTTGTTTCAGCCTGTATAATTCTTTACAGACCGTGTAACATTGAACGTTTACTTGTTTCAGCCTGTATAGTTCTTTACGGGCCGTGTAACATTGAACGTTCACTTGTTTCAGCCTGTATAATTCTTTACGGGCCGTGTAACATTGAACGTTCACTTGTTTCAGCCTTTATAATTCGTCGGAGACCATCTGTAGTTACTGTCACCCCGAGTGTAGCGGCACGTGTTCCGGTCCGGGTGCGGACAAATGCGAACAATGCAAGAACGTCAAAGATGGCCCCTACTGCCTCGACGAGTGCCCCCTGGTGAAATATCTGAACAGCACGTCGGGTGTTTGCATGCCCTGCGCAGACTGCAAGCTAGGGTAAGTCTCTATAAGTGAAATGTGACGTGTTGCATGATTTACTGTCGGACTCCCTGATTTGACATATGCAGGAGTCCGTGTGACTCCCTGAAAATTCTGCCATACAAACTAGTTTGTTCCAGAGCACGGCCGCGCGGAATTGCCGTATTTTTTCAGCTAATGTCCAAAGAAAATTTGGCAGACGTGCAACTGCATGAATCTTAAAAATAAGCACATGCGTTATTGTTAATATCTTTAATTTTGAACTTCAGACTACAGACTCCCTCATTTTGCTGCGGACTCCCTCTTTTTGAGGGTAGGGAGTCCGCTGGAATCCCGTGTTCAAAAGTTAATTTCTACCCCTGTTGCGTGGTCGCTTTGGAACCGAGTCTGGAAACCCAACCAGTCCAAAAACAAAACCAGCCTACCACAGTATTCTATGTAGTAAAAAATCCTTATATCCTCAAAAAACATTATATCCTCCTTAAATCCTTGATAAGGGTTGTTACAGTAAATATTCCTGATCTCAAAATTTCAATTTCTACATTATAACCAAATATATAATCCATAAAATTTGGTCAGTTTTCTGATTGTCAGTCAGAATGCTGAGATCTAACGCGTGTATGTGCGGAATATGATACTAATATTAATACTCGATCATTTTGCGTGTGACCGTAAACCCCACTCTGTGGATATCTAAGGGACATATCCATCTTCAATTTACATTTCTGCCACTGCTGCTCCTTTTTCAACTCTCTCGATGTCAATCAGAATGCTTATATCTTAACGGCCTGTCACACCTACCCGCGATCACGCTCGCGCTCCCACTGCAACCTGAAAACTATGAAAGCGCGAGGAAAAGTGCAGTAAGGTCTCTGAGAACGAGTTGGTGACGCAGTGGAGACTGTCAAGGACGGAAAAGGGTCGCCATGAGCTACCTTGAGCGCCAAACCTCGGCGCTTGTGTAGTTTCGAATCAATACAAGCGCAGCCGGTCGGCGCTCTGATAGAGCAGTGTAATGACGCAGTACAGTCGCCGTGGCAGCGCAAAGCGAACTACATGAGCGTATCGTGGACGTAGCAACAACGCATAGAACGCAGTGAGAGCTTAATAAGCGAGTCAAGAGCGTACTGTAAGCTACTGTTCATACTCCTGTCACACCTGTCACACATACTGTTAACTGTTAACGTTACTGTTAATGTTACTGTTAACGTGTCTGTGTTATGTGGTTTCACCTCATAGGTGTACGGGCCCGGAGACGTGGCTGGGAGAAGGAGGCTGCAACGCCTGTCACCTTGCCATTGAGACCACCGGTAGAGAGACGGAGTGGGAGTGTTTGCCGCGGGCGATGTCACACAGTTGTCCCGCGGGCACCTACTATACCCTGGTGCGCTACGACCGCCACCTCCTGCTGCAAGATGACAACACGGAGATGACGGTAAGCAGGGTATATCTGAAATCTTTACTTTTTTTACACGCGTTGTTTTCATTTCTAATTTTATAGGTGAATATGAATATGAATATGAATATGAATATGACGCATGCTTGAAGGGGGATGGGGGATCTATTTCAAAATTTATAGGTGAGCATGGATAATATCTTGAGTAATAGTAATAAAAATAATAATAATAGTATGATGTAAATTTGACGTACGTGTGACGAAAATGTAATAGCGTGTTTGGTGCATGGGTGAAGGGGATGGGGAACCTATCTTCAGCGTCCTTGTATATGTTATATACGTGCTCCACTAGCTTCTCTCACCGTTACTCAAACGCCCCCTTTTTCTCTGTCCACTTCCTCTCTCCCCCTCTCTCCTTCTGTCTGTCTCTCTCTCCCTCTCCCTTTCTCTCTCCCTCCCTCTTCCTCTCTCTCTATCTCTCTATCTCTCTCTATCCCCTTTCTCCATCTCCCACCTCTCTCTCCATCTCCCCCTCTACCTATCTCTCCATCTCCCACCTTTCTCTCTCTTATCCCCCCTCTCTCCCCCTCTTTCTTTATCTCTTCTCTCTATCCTTCTCTCTCTCTCATGTATCTCTCTACTCTCTCTCTCTCTGCGCTCCTCTTCCCATTCCCTCTCTCATTCTTCTCCCCTCCATCCCTCTCTCACTCTGTCTCTCCTCTCTCACTCACTTTCTCTCGCTCTCTCTCTGCAGGCGTGTAGGGAAGTGTCAGTCCTATGTAGGTGAGAGCTGTGGACGGAGACCGGAGGCAGATCTGCACGTGTAAGTACTACAGGGACGAGGCTACGGGACTATGTGAATCACGTGTCCAGAGATGACCTACCTGAGAACGACAGTAACGTCTGCTCGCTCTGCTCGTTCGAGTGCGACGCGGATGGTTCCTTGTGTGTAGGTGTGTTGTGTGTGTGTGTTGGTGTGTGTGTTGTGTGTGTGTGTGTAGGCTGTGTGTGTGTGTCCGTGCGTGTGTGTGTGTTGTGTCGTGTGTGGTTGTGTGTGTGTATATAAGAATGTGTGTGTGTGTGGTGTGTGTGCGCTCGTGTGTGTGTGTTGCGCGCGTGTGTGGGCTGTTGTGCGCGCCGTGTGTGTGTGTGTGTGTGTGTGATGTGGTGTGTGAGCCAGGTGTCGTGCGCGCGCGTGTGTGTGTGTGCCTTTATTGTCACTAATTACTTTAAAGTAAAAGCTTTGAAACTTGATTAATAAAAAATTCGAAGGTAAATTAAACAATATATCATTACAGAGATAATTAAGCAACGAAATTTCGGCTTTCTTGCATCTTGAACTGTGTCTTGAACTGTCTTCTGTTCCTGAATCATGAAATATTTACCCCGTATTATTCTGTACTCTCTTACCCTTAGTACCCTAATCACACAATGTAAATGATCCCCGTCAATGAATCCCGCATCCCAAAAATAACCACCCCTCTTCCTCAACAGTAAATAAACACTCATCGTCATCGTCATCGTCTCTCTCTCTCGTACAGCATGTAGGGGTCCCACGTCGCTGGACTGCCTCTCTTGCCGCAACATGAAGGTTTATCTTGACGAGGAAGAATCGCAGGAGGCGGAGGAGGGCGAAGGGATCGCGCGATTTAGCTGCACGGCCGGAGTGTCGCCAGACCGGCCGTACGAGACGAGGCGGCCGGAGGAAGGAAACGTGTGCTCAGCACGCCGGTCAACGTAAGCTACTCACTCTCTCACCTTGTTGTCTTCTTCTCTCTTCTGAGGCAGCGCCTGTCGCTCTCTCTCGCCTCTCTCTCTCTCGTCTCTCTCTCTTCTCTCTCTTCTCTCTCTGCTCTCGTTTCTCTCTCTCTCTCTCTTCTCTCTCTCTCTCTCTTCTCTTTCTCTTCTCGTTCTCTCTCTCTTTCTCTCTCTCTCTCTCTCTCTCTCTCTTTCTCTCTCTCTCTCTCTCCGCTCTCGCTCTCGCTCTCGCCTCTCTTCTCTCTCTCTCGTCTCTCTCTCTCTTCTCCTTCTCTCTTTCATCTCTCTCTTTCTCTCTCTCTCTCTCTCTCTCTCTCTCTCTCTCTCTCTCTCTCTCTCTCTTTCTCTCTCTCTCTCTCTCTCTCTCTCTCTCTCTCTCTCTCTCTCTCTCTCTCTCTCTGCTCTCTCTCTCTCTCTCTCTCTCTCTCCTCTCTCTCTCTCTCTCTCTCTCGCTTTCTCTCTCTCTCTCTCTCTCTCTTCTTTCTTCTCTCTCTCTCTCGTCTCCTTCTCTCTCTCTCTTTCTCTCTCGTCTCGCTCTCGCTCGTCGCTCTCGCTCTCGCTCTCGCTCTCCTCTCTCATCGTCTCTCTCTTCTCCTCTCTTGCTCTCTATTTCTCTCTTCTCTCTCTCTCTCTCTCTCCTCTCTCTCTCTCCTCTCGCTCTCTCTCTCTCTCGCGTCTCTCCTCTCTCTCTCTCTCTCTCTCCTCTCGACTCTCTCCTCTCTCTCTCTCGCCTCTTTCTCTCTCTCACTCTCTGCTCTGTCTCTCTCTCGCGCGGCTCTCTCTCTCCCTGTCTCTCGCTCTCTTTCTCTTTCTATTTCACTCTCTCTCTTTCTCGCTCTTGCTCTCTGTGTTTGCGTGCACACACAATGATGACGTCTGTTATTCGCGTGTACTTGCGGCGGGCCCAGTGTGCCCATCATCGTCGGCAGCGTTGTTAGTGACGCTGCAGTTGTTTGCCGATGCACACACAATGATGACGTCTGTTATTCGCGTGTACTTGGCGGCGGGCCCGCGTGGCCCATCATCGTCGGCATGCGTGTTAGTGACGTTGAGTTGTTTTGCGTGCAACCACAATGATGACGTTTTGTTATTCGCGATTATTTTTACTTTTTTGAAAACGGGGGCGGATCCCAGCTGTGCTATCATCCGTCGGCAGGTGGTTGTGCGTACGGTTACGTGTTTGTGTGCACACATAATGGATGACGTGTCTGTTATAGCGTGTGTACTTGCAGTCGGACCCAGCGGGCCATCCCTCTCGTCGGCAGCTGTTTAGTGACGTATGTTGTTTGAGTACACACACACAATGATGACGTCTATTGTTCGCGTGTACTTGCAGCGGACCCAGTGTGCCTATCATCGTCGGCAGCGTGTTGGGGATCATCCTCGTCATCGGTATCATCCTCGTCTGCTTCGTCTTACCAGTGTCGCAAGAAAGCGCGCAGTCGGAGGAGGCGACGATGAAGATGACAATACGCATGACGGCATCGACGAGCGTGGTAAGTTACCCCCCTTCTACCTCGGCGTGATGGGATGCCCTCCCTTCCGCTCCCCCTACTTCTTAGACTAAGACTAAGTCTAGAGTCTATCCTTAGGTTACCCTCACATACACTCCCTCTCACAGCTCTACCTATCCCATTCGCCACATTCACCACTTACTTAGTCAGCGAACTCTCTCTCTCTCTCTCTTTTCCTCTCTCTCTCTCTCTATCTCGCTCTCTCTCTCTCTCTCTCTCTACCTCTCTCTCTCTCTCTCTTCTCTTACTCCTCCTCTCTCTCTCTCGCTCTCTCTCGCTCTCTCTCTCTCTCTCTCTCTCTCTCCCATTCGCTCTCTCTCACTATGTTTCTCTCTCTCCTTCTTTTTTCCTCGCGCGCTCTCGGCCCCGTTCTCTCTGCTCGTCCTTTTCTCCCCTCCCTCCCTTCTTCGGTTTCCTTCTCCCTTCTCCCTCCCTACTCCCTCTCTCTCTCCCCCTCACTAACCTCTCCCTCTCTCTCGTCCCCCTCTCTCTCTCCCCCCTCACTAACCTCTCTCTCTCTCTCCTACGCAGCCGCTGACGCCGACCAACGCCACGCCCAACATGTCGCGGCTGCAGATCATTAAGGAAGCCGACCTCCGTAAGGGAGGAATCCTTGGCTACGGAGCGTTCGGCACCGTCTACCAGGGCGTGTGGATACCGGAGAGAGACACGGTGAAGATACCGGTAGCCATCAAGGTGCTGCGCGAGGGAACGAGCGCCGACAGCAACAAGGAGATGATAGAGGTGAGAGCTGCGTCATGGTGTTATCGTATCGTGTTACATCGTGTCGTATCATGTTACATTGTGTCGTATCATGTTACATTGTGTCGTATCGTGTTAAATTGTGTCGTATCATGTTACATTGTGTCGTATCATGTTACATTGTGTCGTATCGTGTTAAATTGTGTCGTATCATGTTACATTGTGTCGTATCGTGCTACATTGTGTCGTATCGTGTTACATCGTGTCGTATCGTGTTACATCGTGTCGTATCGTGTTACATCGTGTCGTATCGTGTTACATCGTGTCGTATCGTGTTACATCGTGCCGTATCGTGTTACATCGTGTCCGTATCATGTTACATCATGTCGTATAATGTTACATCATGCCGCGTCTGTTATATCATGGTGTCATGACTGCTACATAATAGTGCCATCATACACATCATAATATACACTATCCTCGCGTATATATATATATATATATATATATATACTTTCATCTATACGCGTATATTTACGAAGCGTCGGACATTCACCGCTGCGACTGTTATATTTCCACCACCAGGAGGCGCAGGTGATGGCGAGCGTGGAACACCCGAACCTCGTTCGTCTGCTAGGCATCTGTCTTGCGGCACAGATGACCCTCGTGACCCCGCTGATCCCACTCGGCTGCCTGCTGGTCTATGTGCGCTCGAACAAGGACAAGATCGGCTCGAGGTAAGCCTCATCTTGCTTCTCCTTCTCTTTCTTCACCTCCTCCTCCTTCTTCTCTTCTTGCGCATCGTCCTCCTCTTGCTTCTCCTCTTCTTACTCCTCTTGCTCTGCTTCTTCCTTATTGGCCTCCTTTTCTTCTCCTTCGTCCTCTTTCTCCACCTCATCCTCTACATTTTTCGTTTTCTTTCTGCTCCTCTTACTCTGCCTCTTCCACAACCTCCTCTTCCACAACCTCCTCTTCCACAACCTCCTCTTCTACAACCTCCTCTTCCACAACCTCCTCTTCCACAACCTTCTCATCCACAACCTCCTCTTGCACAACCTCCTCTTGCACAACCTCCTCTTGCACAACCTTTTCTTGCACAACCTCCTCCTCCACAACCTCCTCTTCCACAACCTCCTCTTCCACAACCTCCTCTTCCACAACCTCCTCTTCCACAACCTCCTCCTCTTCTCTCTTTTTCTTCCATCTCTT